ACACTCATTTCCCCACTAATCTCATTTTGATCTGCCATGCCTCCACAGCGCTGCAAGGAAATTGGTCTAAACAGCAAAATATGCCGTTTATTGAGCTACATTTTCTAACAGTTATTGAGTTTTATTTTCACTTTCAGAATTTGAGTGGACACTTAAAAAAACTCTCTTAACTTTGATATCCTATATATCCATTTAAAACTTTCCAAGCCAAATGTCCAGGCTCTTCCTAAAGCTGCTGGATCAATTTCACTGCCCATCTTTTCTTGATGACTTCTATAAAAAAAAAAGAACAAAAGGGCTTTAATTATTGTAATGATTACAGCAATAAAAGCACAGGCCTTTAAGAAGTGGCATTTGGTCTTTCCCTGACAGCTGAGACAGACATTTTCCCCGGACTTATCTCCCTCTGCAGGAACACACAGTGTCTCCAGTGTTCTTTTGTGGTCTACAGTGAAATGTTGTATCAATAAAATACAGAGACGGTAGACAGTGAGTATGAATTATTGAGAGACACATTGGTTCTAATCTCCCCAGTGCAGTTAATTTGATGTTCTTGTTTTCCTGTTTGGGATTCAACCTGCAATGCACCATCCGTCCCCCTGCAAATACCACGGACTGAGAGGAGGAGCAAGACCGTGTGGGAACTAAATGAATGATCCGCTGATGCTAATGTCCTCTGCCAGCCAAGGTCTTGTTTAATAAGCCTCAAGATGAGATGGGCGTGCAAGAAAATAACGTGATCAAAAAAAAAATAAGCCTCGTCAATTCAGGCCCACACACCTGAAGCTGCAGCAGATAATGAAAGAGGAATCTGTAATGAGTGTGAGCCATGTGCTTGTGTGTGTGTGTGTGTTTGGAGGATGGGGGGTTGTAAGTGCATCCTGCCAATTCAGGAGCTCCACAGGCTGAAGGGTTTTTTGTAACCTGTATCACCGCTCTGGAGTGAATATCAATATCTCAGGCAGGCGGCTGATCAGTGGAAATGTTCGCTCAGCAGAGTGTGAGGCGAGCTCTCGTTTATATCACTGAAAAAAAGTCTTGTGTTGCCTTTTCACACGCACAGCAGGTGAGTCCGTCGCCGTGACAAGCCGAGCTTTGATTTGAAATACAATCAGCCCCGGCTCGAGATTCAACAAATTGGTTGATAAAGACGGCGGCTTATTATCTCGCAGCCGCATCAAGACAGGGGAAGTTCCAGGCTTTCTAATTAGTCGTTCTTATTTTATCATAATCGATTGGAGACTGGTGAGGGGATTGTCATCCAGCAGCGGGGGGGAGTTAGGAGAGAGATTTGCTCTGGTTAAAATGACTCTGCTGCTGGGAGCCTGATAGCTGCAGATATATTCCAACAGCTGTGTGCTCTTTAGCGCTGCCACACAGGGGAAAATGGGGCAAATTAAGGCATTCAATTCCATTTTCTCCAATCCCTGTAAAAGCTGGGGTGAAGCAGAAGGGGGAGAAAAATGAAAATTACAAATACATGAAAGATTTCACATACTGTTCTGTTGAGCGGGAGCAACAGAGGTTCAAAGACACTCCACTGACATGTGTTGGTAGAAATCCAGAAAGTCTAGCCTCGGAAAATGTCCAATCATTGGATGATTTCATGGAGTATTGAGAAATGGAAAACATTTGGCACACTTTGTAAGACAGCAATACTTGCACTGAAATTTGAATTACACATACTTTGTATTAATTCACAAAGTGGAAGTGGTCAGGACTGGGAAAACTAACTTCTACTCCAACACTTGAAGCTTGAAAGGCTTATTTCAATTTAGTGTTTTTCTTCGATTTCCTCTCTGCACATTCATGAAGTGGATTCAGAAGTCCCAGTGGAACAGACAAGTGCACTCTCAATTTAAAATATGGAAAAATGTCATGCACGCTTCTTTTTGTTAACTGGAATTAGGGACTTTGTTTGTTTTCATCGACCTCTGACAGTTATATCACTTTCAGTCTGAACACACAGTTGGTCCAACTTAACGCTTACCAGATGTTTACTTTTGTTACTTCATGTTATTCCAACAATTAATTAATGTTTCAATGTTCATGTTCATTTTAGCTGTCTTCAAAAAAAAAAAAAAACCTCTTCCCATTAGCTTTTGGCTTCATGGGTTCAGCATCTCGTCTCAACACAAGAGGTTAGTCAACAGGTGAGTTTGTAAGTTCAGACAAGTTTGTAACAGCAGCATGTTTTTAGACAGCAGACATGAGTGCAAAAAAAAAAAGTTGAATAGATAAGATTAGAAGAGTGTGTGTCAATATTATGTTTATGGACAAAACCAACTTACAATGAAGGGAGTTCCCTGACCAAACAGTCACAAATACTTCAACCCCCCATTAAAGAAGTGCTACAGAAAACATTTTTTTTACCTGCCAAATGACAACCTACGGCAGGGGTGGGCAACTGGCGGCCCCCATCAACCCTCAACGTGGCCCTCAGGTCAATTTTTACATATCAATTAATTAGAAACATGAAGAAAAACATGACAAAATCTGCCATGAAATCATGAAAACCAGAAATATGTCCATACTAATATTTGATCACTGGTATATGTTGAGTTAAATTTGAGACATTATTGACTGTAATCGTTTTTGTATACTACAATTTGGCCCTCTGGCAGTGAGATTTAAATGAATGTGGCCCTTGCTGTGACCAAAGTTGCCCATCCCTGATCTACGGAGCTAAAAAAAAATCATCCAAAAACCTGCAAACCCTCAAATGGCCACTTGAGGTTGGCTCCAAAATTAAGTCAGTCCTCATAGACCCCCATGCTATGCAATGCCCAATGTTACCACAGACATGAAGATGGTTACAGTCTGGTACAAAAAATCTAGTCTCAATAGCTAATCTCTCTGTTCATGGAAATCGAAGAGGGTTGTGTCCACGCGTTTGTCCAAATATGGTCACGTTTGGCTCCAGAGAATCAAAACATCTGGGACCATAATGACTAGCTTTTGGAATTAAACGGTAAAAAAACAGTGATATCTAAGAGGCAGCATATGCCTCTTATACGGTCAACTGTGCCTGCCTACAAAGATATTGTTAAAATCAAAAACACGGACCAACATCATCGATAGTTACTGCACTTTTGTTTTAGGCAAATTCCCCCTCTATGGACAATTAAGTATATTTAGCCTGATCTAATTCAGTGGCCTTTAGTACAAGCACTTTATGAATAAAATGTATTATGAATAATCTAAATCCAAATGAAAACCAAAGATATATGAACTTATTTTTGAGATCATTAACTTCACTTAAACTTTAAGTAACTGTTTTATGAGATAATTGTGTTTTCTCAAAGTAGGATGAGAGTGTGAAAGAATGATTATTTCAAACCAAAGAAGTCGTGTGTTATTACAGAGGAATGTAAAATAGGTTGTAGCTTCAGCTTATACCTTTTTGATCTGCCTGCAACGCTTTGTTCATACGTTTAATGGTTCGTTTTTGTGAAACAGTTTGCTCTTATAGGCACATATTTCTCTCTGTGGGATATCTGCATCCTCTTTGCCTCACAAAAATATATACGAGGAGACACTTTACACGACCCTACACATCCTCCAACATCATGGGAAGCAGCTTGTCTTCAGCTTCCATGTGGCAGAAGTAATTCACATCAATGACAGCATAACATGCAATGGCATTTAATGTCCCCACAGCTCAGTGGTGGAAGCCAGTGGCACTGTGATGTACGTTCAATTCCTCCGCTGAGACTGATGTGAGGTGACAGTGGATTTGGTCAGGATTGGTGTTATGTGCACTCTGAACAGAAACATAGCCACTAAATAGTATTTCATCTTTCCCTGCGCACCTTCTGATACAACGAACCACCAAATTCCTGCTCAAACGAGAACAGGCTCTTAAGCAAACTTGTGCAAGACGAATTAAAAAAAAAAAATTAAAAAAAAAAGAGAGAGATTTGCATTTGATAGTAGAAGACGGTTGCGGTAATTTTTTATGCCACAGATCACATAATTGGTATGAAATCTTATGTCCTGATTTACTCACCGCATGGATTTTTTTTTTTTTCTAAATCCGATTTTTCCAGATAAAAATAAAGTGTCATTTTTAAAATTCTACACGGAGCTCAGGAAAGCCTGCGTTTTCTAAATCTACAACGCTTCCAATTCTCCATACACCCTTTGGGCAACATCTTGTGTAATGTTATCTGCATTGTGTTCGTCATTTCAGTCTCCTGTGTTACATAATTGAGATGATAATTGCTCGAATTCGCACAACAAAGACTTGAAAAGCACATCAAGTGTTGCCAGAACATATGTAACCGAGATACTTCTTTGACAATGAATTTGAAGAGGGGGGATTTGTATTTCTTATGAGGGTGAAGCCCGCGACAAGTGCCAAAGCAACAGATGCACGAGGCTGCAACAGATGTGTAAATCATGCCTCATGAATAAGTCAGAAATCTCTCTCTCTCTGTAACTTTTCTGAGCAGATTAAACACACATTACCACTTCTTACGCTTATTTTTTGGTCATGTTTTCACATCTGTTTATTCACTCAAAGCAGAGCAGCAAACAAATCCTACAAAGGTTTCTTTCTCGTCTCTTTTTTCCGTGTAAGCCTGAGTGGTCAGGACAGCATCAGCTGGCATTAGTCAGCCTCAAGGCTTATCTATTAGCGGTGTAGAAGCTCTGCTCTCTGGAGCAAACTGCAGAGTCAATGTGAGTTTGTTTTATACACCTTTTTGCTCCCTGTTGCCCCCCGGGTCACAAAAACTCATTAAGGGTGTATTAATGGCTCGGTCGAAGTTGTGCCTGAGCAACCATCTGTGACTGAACGTGTGGTAAACAAAAAAGAAGTAACAGCTCATGTTAAAGGACAGAAAAAAAGGAGCAACCTTTGACATTCACTTACAAGCAAACTAAAATCATCTCTCTTCATGGGAACAATTGAGCTCAGAAGCTTACAAAGCACATCAGGAAAGCAACAACTGCTTTCCCCTCAATATAGATCCGGAGGAGTTAATAATAGTCCTTACCCGGTTCTTTGTGGTCGGAGCTTTGGCTGGACAACAGGAAGAGGTAATCCTGACAGGTGTCCTGATCCAGTAGGGTGCTGTTATGCAGGCAGAGGTCGACAATTAGGGTCACAGCTCTCTGACAGACCATGTCATACTGCTCTCGGTCAGAACTCATGCTCCCAGCAGCATCCTCAGCCGTGTGTGCTCATCCAAAGGGGAACAAACACTCCCACACACACACTCACACACACATGCAGCAGCAACAGCAGCAGCAGTCGAGCATGCAGAAGATAAAAATGCAACTTGTCTCCGTGCTCGGCTGATTCTTCTCCGTCTTCCCTGGTCTCTCAAGAGTGTTTACACACAAACACGCCTAAGTGTATGTGCATATTTTGTGTGTGTGAGCAGGGCCAAGATTGTTAAGAGCATGAACACGCGTGATGTGACATAAATGTGTGTATATGTGCACCGCTGCATAAGGACTTAGTGAGTCATATCTGCCTGCAGGTGATGCATGGGCAGAATTATTGCATCACATGAAGATGAAATTCAAAATGAAACACAATAATCATGAGCAATACACCAACAAGCACAGGAGCCTAGCGACCCCAACACACACACATTCTGCCCCCCCCCCCCCCATTCCCCGCCCTCGATCTAACGCCATCTCTGCTTCTTTTCTGAGTGTGCACGAACAGAAAAAAAAGAAAACATAACGACACTGGGTTTGTTTTTCTCAGGTCAGACTGTCTCCTGTGATAAATTCCCCCTCGAGCTGCAAACCACCTGTGACTGCCAGGTCCCACTGCTCCCTCTGACGACCCCCCCCCCCCCCGTCGCTTGTAGTCCCTGACTGTTTACAACTTGTGATGATGAGGGTTGAACTACGTTTCTGCAAGCGGCAGAGCAAAAAAAGTAAAGAGAGGAAGACATTTGTGTGGCTGCACACAATGCAAACACTTACAAAATGCTGATATATGCAGATATTTTTGCATGCATCTCACCTTGCAGCTGTGCAGAGCTGTTTGTAGATGTAAATAAGTGTGAATTGGGGTGTGACATTAACATTGCTGCTGATGTATCTGTTGGGACGCTGCGGCTAATGAAGCCCAATCAGAGCAAAAACATCTTACAAGCTGATCCCAGTGCTACGCTTCCATGAACCTCTGAGGGCTCAATTCAAATTAATTTCTCATCATTAAAATCATTCAGGTGTTTTTTATTGTCAAAATAACACAGAGGGGAAAAAACCCCAGACGAGGAAAAGAAAAAAGAAATGAACTTGACTTTTCTGGAGTAATATACTGAACTATACGTGAACTTGCTTGGCCGTATCTCTTAATTACGCTTTTACCATATTAACCCATTAATCGAAGTAATTCAATAAAGCCTTTGACGAATTACGCTTCAGAGAAATGATTTCATGCCTATCTACTTTTATAAAATGGAGTCTAACCAGATCTTAGAAGACTCCCTTCTGTAATTGAGTTAACGTGAATGCTGCGTCCTCGTTGGTGGGTTGCGGCTCCTCTGCCCCTCACAGGTTGAATCGGGGGGGGGGGGCGGGCTATGGTGCTTCCAGTTACTGAAGATTGGATCTACTTTCCTTGGGCAACCCTGATTAACAGACCAATAACAAACAGGTTTCTGGCTGCAGGTTTTCAAAAGGGTCAATTACTCCTCCTGCTGTCTGCTGCAGCTGATACTGACTCATCCACCCTTTATTTACCCAGTGGTCCCTTTAATGCACACAGGTTTTACTGCTACCTGTATTCCCAGGATGTCAAAACAAAGCCCCTCAATGATTCCCTCCAGTCCTGCATAAGCTACCAGTGCTTTAACGGTGGAAGGAAATAGACCCAGGCAGCATCAGTTTTTTCCTTGTTGCCATTACATTATTTAGACGCTGTTGTCATAGGATGCGCATTGTGTCGCACAAATATTGCTTCTGGATATAATGGTTTCTTGTTAACTTTATGCTGTAATAATGAGACAGCTGGGAAATAGCCTGCCATAAAAAAAGATAATGTACCATCACAGAGAAAAGCCTCTAACTTCTGTCCCCTTTCCCACATAAAATATATTCCCATTCACTCCTATTTATAGTATAAAGTAAATAATGTAGAGTTTCTTTATAAGCAGGGTCACACATCTACATTGTTGTAAAGCTGTAAAGCTGGAATGTGTTAACGCCTTACCGATCTAACTTCAGAAGAGAAAACGATTGTTGTTTTAATAAACGTGTTTCACTCGATTGAATCCTTTCTGCTTGGGTTTAAACTTTTCTTTTATAATATGCATTTCTGTTCCGAACAACAGATGTAGGGGCGGCTGTGGCTCAGTTGGTAAGTAAGTAAGACTTTTAAAATACTTAGTTACAAAGTGCTTCACAGATAAAAGAGATCAAATAATTCATACAGTGAGAGAAAATGTACGTAAATAAATCACAGATGTGTCCTTCAGCAAGACACCCAGAATTGCTCCCACTTCTTCGGCGGCGGCATATGAGTGTGTATGAATGGGATTTAGTCATTTCTGATGGTCACTCTACATAGCAGCCTCTGCAATCAGGATCTTCTAATGATCCTATAATGGTCTGAAAATTCAAATGAAGTGTACACTATATGGCTGCATTACCAGTGCGAGAGGGAGAAAATATAAATCACGTTTCTCCATCCATCCATCCATTATCTATACCGCTTTTCCCGGTCAGGGACACAGGGGTCATTGGGCGAGAGGCGGGGTACACCATGTACTGGTTGCCAGTCAATCACAGAATTTATAGAGACACACTGTCATGAACACATACGGGCAATTTAGAGTCACCAATTAAAGAGCATGCCTTTGGACTGTGGGAGGAAGCCCAAGTGCTCAGAGAGAACCCACACATGCACGGGGAGAACATGCAGACTCCACACAGAGATGTGCAACAGGAATTGAACCAGGAACCTCCTCGCTGTGAGGCAACAGCACTAACCACTACACCACCATGCAGCTAGATTAATTGTTTTAATGCCAGATTACACTCGTCTGATTTGTCCAAAATGTTGCCAAAATGTTTCCGTTTGATTCTTGATGTCTTCACACTTCACAAAACTCTTGAAAATTTCCAAAACTGTTTGTGGTGAGCTGCAAATGCGAACACAACAAGCCAAATGTTGTGCAGTCACTTTACTCAGACTTCTTTCCTGCTATCCCCGTAGTGAATAACCACAAGAAGTTGCAGCAGTATGCCATATTGGAAATATTGTACAATGTTTCACAATTACCTGGCGGGTCAGGATGTTTATATCCTGCAACTTCTGCGATCTTCAGAAGCCGCTTCTCTTGTTTCTTACCTCGCTAATTGATACTGTGAATACGTCCAATTACATTGATAAAGGCAAAAACAGTGTCTGACTCTGTTGCTTCATCCACCATCTTGGTTTCCTGCTGTGTTTTGTTACGTCATGTGTTGCCTCCTGAGACCCCCCGGCCCTCTCTGATAAAGACAACGTCACACTTTGAGGGACATGTGGGAATAAGCGACGCGGGAAGATTTCAGGAACAGCCTTTCCTTAGATTTTCTAAGAATGTACAGGACTACATGTGTGAAAAACTGCTCAGGTCAGATGTATAAGGTACGCTGGAAGTCAGCAGAATAACATGCAACAGCAGTAACATAAAATATAGATACACAACCAATGTTTTTTTATGGTCACTGTGTTCACATGATCGCTGCCTATAAGTTAAACAGAATAAAACATTGATTAAATGTCTGAGATTTAACGGCGCAGTGCTTTTTTACCCTCTCTTTGTTAATTATTCATGAGGCTCAGTTAGGCAAGATTAAAAAAAAAACACAAAATAGTGTCTCTGGTATAAAAGACTCTCCCTCTGTAAATAATTTAAAGCTCCACAGCAAGAAAAGTGCTTTAAGTGTGTGGATTAAAAGCAATAATGGAGAAAACTGCTGAGAAAGTTTGTCTTAGATATTACCTCTGACTAATAATCCAACAGATTTAAAAATTATCTTCAGGGAATCCTCGGGTAATCACAGAAATAAACGAGGAGGGCTCGGGAGGTCTTATTGATGATTATTTGTAAGCGGCGCGGGCATATTTTTCCACAGCAAATGAGGAGGGTTGATGCTCGTGAGGTCCTGGGTTTGATATGCAAATGCCGCCTCATCTGTAGAGAATCTTTGTGCAGTGACAGCCCGGTGGCTGCAGATGTTGAACTTGATTCATCGTGGCAAATGCATGACAAAGGGTTGGCTCACTCAAAGCTATGCTAATCAACAGCAGCACTTCCGAACCTCTCCTGAGGGGCCTCCATGGATGGTTTCTACAGAGTACAGTCGGTGTGTTGCGGTGCATCCTGTACGCGCATGTGTGAGTGTGTGTGTGTGTGTGTGTGTGTGTGTGTGTGTTTTATTGTCACGACGTGTTAATCAAAGGATTTCCTGCTCAGCTGTAGGGCAACAAGACAAATATTTACATGTTGACTCATATTTAAGCTTGTTAGTAACAGTTTTTAAATCGTGTAGGCAGGATGTGATACATGCTGCTTTGAAGCTACAATACAACAGATGAAGAGATGATCTGTGAACAAATAGATCTGCCAGTGAGTATTACACAAGAGCCTGAAGGATTTTATAATAGCATATACACACATGCTTAAAAAAATACTTAACAGAGCGATATCACAATGTTTTTCAATGAGCCTGAGCACACAACGCGGTGCTAAGCGAGGTGACATCACCCCGCAGCGTGGACGAGGCTCAGTGTAATTATTGCGTGTCCAGGTGAAATATGCAGAGCTGTGTCTCATCCAAACATGTCCTGAATGTCACTGAGACGACGTGTTTAACTGAGGTGCTGTCAACACGACCCAAGAGCGATAGAGTCCACCAGAGTCAATTCTCATCGTCCGCTATCGTGCATATCATATTCCATATGCATGTAAATGACATCAGCCTTTTTTCCTATTAAATATTCTTTACAGGTCAACACAATGCACACTCAATATGAAGTAGAGATTTAAAGTGCTTTTCATGGATTATGGATTCAAAGACATGGGAGAAATCATCATGTCTGTCTTTGATAGATAGCACTGTTTGGTGTTTTATAGTTTTCAGGGTGTCTGCATGTTAACTCTTTAGAGACCTTTTTTTAAAAGCACATACAGTGCTATACTTGACTGCATTGAACACGGACGTATAGGCCGTGTCTGAAATCACCCACTACTCTCTATGAAGTGCATTTGCCGTTTTGTGGCGGCTGTCCTCCAAGTGGCAGCCCGGGTTCAAATCCGACCTGT